ACCCATCCTACATAGCCTGGCCCCCCCAAAAAAAAAGTTACACACTGTAACATTTCATTGAACCACCTTCAGCTTTTGACGCATTCGCCGTGGCATCGTTTTCCATAATCTTACGCAATGTCGCAACATTTATTTCCATCCAGAGTTGCACTCAATTTTCACCAAGATCTTGTAGTGATGATGGGAGAGTCGGAGCACTGTGTAAAGTCTTCTCCAGCACATGCCAAAGATTCTCAGTGGGGTTAAGGTCTGGAGTCTGTGGTGGCCAATCCATGTGTGACGATGATGTCTCATGCTCCCTGAGCCACTCTTTCACAATCTGAGCCCGATGAATCCTGACATTGTCATCTTGGAATATGCTCAATGTGCCATCAGGGAAGAAAAAATCCATTGCTGGAAAAACCTGATCATTCAGTATATTCAGGTAGACAGCTGACCTCATTTTTTGGGCACATAACATTGCTGAACCTAGACCTGACCAAAATAAACCCCCAAAATAATATGGTGGGGAATTTATCAAAACTGGAGCAGACACAATCTGGAGCAGATTTGCACTGCAGCCAATCAGCTTTTCCCTCTCATTTTCAAATCTTCCCGGAGCAACCTGAAGAGAGATGCTGATTGGTTGCCATGGGCAACTGCTCCGGATTCTGTTTGCTCCAGTTTTGATAAATTCCCCCCACGTTTCCTGAAAGCAGAGACGAGGAAGAATAAAATGGTGGTTCAGAAAAGGGCTGTGAGGATGACATGACCCATGCACACCCATCCTACATAGCCTGGCCCCCCCAAAAAAAAAGTTACACACTGTAACATTTCATTGAACCACCTTCAGCTTTTGACGCATTCGCCGTGGCATCGTTTTCCATAATCTTACGCAATGTCGCAACATTTATTTCCATCCAGAGTTGCACTCAATTTTCACCAAGATCTTGTAGTGATGATGGGAGAGTCGGAGCACTGTGTAAAGTCTTCTCCAGCACATGCCAAAGATTCTCAGTGGGGTTAAGGTCTGGAGTCTGTGGTGGCCAATCCATGTGTGACGATGATGTCTCATGCTCCCTGAGCCACTCTTTCACAATCTGAGCCCGATGAATCCTGACATTGTCATCTTGGAATATGCTCAATGTGCCATCAGGGAAGAAAAAATCCATTGCTGGAAAAACCTGATCATTCAGTATATTCAGGTAGACAGCTGACCTCATTTTTTGGGCACATAACATTGCTGAACCTAGACCTGACCAAAATAAACCCCCAAAATAATATGGTGGGGAATTTATCAAAACTGGAGCAGACACAATCTGGAGCAGATTTGCACTGCAGCCAATCAGCTTTTCCCTCTCATTTTCAAATCTTCCCGGAGCAACCTGAAGAGAGATGCTGATTGGTTGCCATGGGCAACTGCTCCGGATTCTGTTTGCTCCAGTTTTGATAAATTCCCCCCACGTTTCCTGAAAGCAGAGACGAGGAAGAATAAAATGGTGGTAGCACGATATCGGCGCAACTGTTTATCAAACACAGAATTTCTGAAAAAATGCATATAAATTAATAAAGAGACGAGGTTGTGGGAGTAACGATAAGAAACAGGCCAAGCCTTCAATTTGTAAGAGTTTGTGAAGCAGCAAAGAACTCCGGCACTTAAAATTGTCCGTAGGCAACACTTTAACCCTTTCGATGTCAAAATGCACATTTTAGGCCTGAAGATTACTTAAAGGAGAACTGTGAGGTGAGCGATTTCCACTCATCCTCCTAGTTAGAGTCGGCTCTATCAATCAGGAGGTGAGCGAACACTTACCGTCACTCGATCATCTCCCTGCAGAGAGCCGTGACTGTCAGTCACCACTCCCCGCAGGGTTCCCCCCCTTCCCCTCTCCGATCCTCCAGCGCTGAGTGGACGAACGGACGGAGGGGGCGGGCACAGTTGGCTCTGCCTCTAGATTGACAGCTGGCTCCGCCCATCAGCCAGCTGGGTGGATCTTGACAGTATTGTCAGGATCCGTGCCAGATGCGGCGCTCTCAGTCAGGGGCTTCCTGAGGCCGGGTGTCACCCGAAGCGGATACCGGGTGAAACCTGCCGTTACGTCATTACACATGTGCGTGACGTCATCACGTGCGTGATGATGTCATGGCGCATGCGCAGCCATCTTGGTGACACCTGTTGGCGGCCATCTTGGTGATGGACATTGGCAGAGATAGGAGGGGATGTTTACCCGTCGGGATAAGGTCCATGACCGAGTGCCCGACTTTTCAGAGGGGGTGACACCAAAATGACTGTCAATGACTCCGATGGTGTCACCCGGGTGCGGGCCGCACCCCCCTGGTGACGAAACCGCTCTCAGTATATAGCTCGCTATTTACTGAGCTTTGGGTCATGGGAGGAGGTTCGTGTATGTCCTCCTGTTACCCTAAAGAGAACTATGGGATGAAAAGGTTACCCCATAGTTCTCTTTTAACCTCACGCAGAATTATATATTTCCTGAAAGCAGAGAGGGGTGGTCAACTCCTCCGGCTGTTGTAAAACTACAAGTCCCATGAGGCATTGCAAGACTAGTTACAGGCAGGACTGGCAGAGGCATGTTGGGATTTGTAGTTAAAGCACAGCTGGAGCTGCCCACCCCTGCCCTGGAAAATTAAATGGCGGCAGTTGCAATTTTTTTATCTCGCATGTGTTTCAGCTGGTGGATGTGATTGGGCGGCAGTCAGCTTTACACATGTATATGGCTCAGGAGTCTGCTCACAGAGCACTTACAGGGGGGGAGGGGGGTCTGCTGCTATTGACGTATGACATACATTGGCAGCAGCAAAAGGGTTAAAGTCATCAGTTTATAATAGCCCTAGAACTGGGGTAGGCAACCTCGGCACCCCAGCTATTGTGGAACTACAGGTCCCATAAGACACTGCCAGACTCTGACAGCCGTCGGCATGACTACTAGAGGCAGAAGGATGATGGAATTTGTAGTTTCATTACAGATGGAGTGCAGAGGTTGCCCACACCTGCCCTAGAATCATTGCGCCGGCATGCACAGCGACACCTAATACACCTGATGTGTTGATTTTGTACACAAGGCGCACGCAGCTTGCGCCTTTGCGCTCCTATGTGTGTGTACGCGGGGGTGGGGGGGCTCTGTGGAAAGGAATATCACCCCTTTTAGGCTGCTCAATAAGACAGACTTGTTGATGGATTGGATTGGCTAGAGCGGTGAACCATTAGATCAACTGTCCTGTTTTTACTGCTGTGCATGGCTCCGAGAGATTTTCCCTCACTTCCTGTCCTGCTGACATCGGTTTGACCAGACAGGAAGTGAGGGAAAAATCTGCAGCGGGGAGGCACACAAAAAAAAAATACACATCTGACAGGGGTTCCCCTTCTCGATTAGGAAAAACATTTTTATTTCTATGAAGTTGTTGGAGAGTTACCCTCACTTCCTGTCTGGTAAAACATTGTCAACTGGACAGGAAGTGAAGGTAAATCTCTTGGAGCCATGCACAGCAGTAAAAACAGGACAGGAAATGATTCGCCGCTCTATCCAAAACCTAAGAAAAAAGTTTTGCCTGGGCATACGCTTAACTTTATTGTAGGGCTGCAGCTAACGATTATTTTCATAATCGATTAGTTAGCCGATTATTAAGTTCGATTAATCGGATTACAAAAAATGGCTCCAGTGATAGGACTACTAGTTTGTATTGAGATTGTAGTCCATCACAGGAGCAAGCTTGGAGCAGTGGAAATAAAAAAAAGTGTGGTGTGCAATATAGAACATTATACAGCGGCGCAATGTAGATTACCAGCAGCTACAGAGGAATGCAGCAAATCACAGCAATAGTCCATTATACTATAATGTTCTATTGCTGGGATTTGTAGTCCTCTGTAGCCGGTGTATAATGATTATACGGCGCAATGCAGAATACCACCAGCTATATAGGAATACAACAAATGCCAGCAATACATTATGCATACAGTGTATAATGTATTGCTGGGATTTGTAGTCCTCTATAGCTGATGGTACATATACAGCACAATGTACCATCAGCTATAGAGGACTACAAATCCCACTACACCAGCAATACATTAATACAGCACCATGTGGGGGTGGGGGGGAATGCAGGCTTACCCGAGCAGCTTGTGGGCCTGTCTGGCAGCTGCCTTCCCCCATATGCCTGCTCTTCCTTCATTGTGCCCATCGTGAATGGGCGGGCCGCGGCAAGTCTGGGAGGCGGGGAGATGCGGCTTGCAGGGAGGAGAAGCGGCGAGTCTGTATGGCAGGGAAGGAGTCGGGTCGTGCGTTGGGGAGTCGTGTCGTGCAGCGGGGAGGGGCCCAGTCACACCAAGAGTGCGGCGAGTGAGGGAGCTCACTGCGAGGAGAGGAGCAGCGGCGTGTGCGGTGGGCGTGGCTTCTGCGCCGTCACACGCCGCGCCCGCCGGACACGATGGGTCATGTGTGGGGCCCCGAACAGGCTAACCTATCGATAGCGGACTAATCGACGATGGCAAACGTTGACAACGTTTTCCATCGATTAACTGTTGCGATTAACTGTTGCAGCTCTACTTTATTGCTATCACAAGGGGGCGACAGCATAGTGCAGGTGACAGGTTCTCTTTAAAGGAGACATCAGGGGTCTATTAGACTCCATATGCCACCCCTGCAATCTGCTGAAGTGCTCGATCAGCTTCCCGTGGCATGTCAGCGCCGAAACCGGAAGTGATCAGAGCCGCTCTTCATCCTGACACCCGCCATGGAGGTCCCCGGGCACCCAGAAGGGATAGGTAAGGCTAGGACACACGGTGGGGGTGGTGGTAGGAGTGGTGGGAGTAGTCCGCACCTTCCGCAGCTGGGTGCCCAAATTACTTCCATGACAAAGCCGGCAGCCGGGTTTGTCATGGAAGTAATAGTGAAGACTAGTTTGTGTACACGCCGGCTCTGCCCCCGACTATATGACATGCATCGGTGGCAGGGAAAGGGTTAATAGAACGCCATGCGGACCGGTCACTAGTCATGTGATACCTTCTCTCTCCTCCTCCATACGGCGGGCTTGCCTCTGGGCCATCATGCCCCTGTTCATCCTTCTTCGCGGCATCCCATCGCCCCGCTCCTCCGGCTGGATACGCGGTCTGGGCGCCGCCGCCACCGCCACATTCTGCTGGTGCTCCCGGTCAGCTGCAACGGAATACAAGACAGAACAATAAAGTGCACCTGTCACTAATACAAGAACACCACTATGCAGGTTTATTCTATAACTACCCTCCAAGGCGGGAGGGAGGGCAACTCCGACCCTTCAGCTGTGATTTAACTACAAATCCCAACATGTCTCTGGGAGTCATGGGACTGGAGGGCCGCAGTTACCCGCCCCTGCTCCAAAGGCTCACAAAGATCAAGGCATGAGGAAAGGCTATGTACGGGATTCTCTAGCGCACCACACCGGACCAAACCATTCCTCTGATACACTGAAGGAAAGAAGTAACATTGTTAAAGCTGAATTCCGGGGATCAGTAAATATTGTCCTCTCACAAGAGTCATGTGACTACTTCCTGAAATCTAGGTGAGCTTTTTATATTGCTTCAGATCTGAGCAAACGTTGGAGCTTCCTGCAATGCAGACCGATCATTGCTGCTCTCTCTCCTTGTGCAGGGTGACTGGTCATGTCTCCACCCCCTCCTGTAATAAAGACCACTCACTGCTGCTCTCTCTCCTTGTGCAGGGTGACTGGTCATGTCTCCGCCCCCTCCTGTAATAAAGACCGCTCACTGCTGCTCTCTCTCCTTGTGCAGGGTGACTGGTCTAGTCTCCCATTAGTCTCATTAAAAGGAAGCCAGGCGCTGTGTAAAGACTCGCCACCCGGCTTCCCGATTAGAAGGGAAGCCGTTCCCATGCTCCTTCGTCACCTGGTGGCGAGGGAGCATGAAGTCGGCTTTCCAGCCAATCAGGAAGCCTGGCAGCTTGTAATGAAACCCTGCCCGGCTTCATGATACTGGAAGTATTGGGCTAGGCATCGGAGCATTTGTAGAGCTCATTTTATTAACCCTTGCAATGGGGCTACCCCAGCACTGCAAGGGTCAATAATAATTTGAAACCGGAGTTCTTCTTTAATGCAATGATGATGAGTGTAATACAGAGCTCCCCCTAGTGGTGACTCTACAAATCTCTATATATAATATAATGATGGAGTGTAATACAGAGCGCCCTCTAGTGGTGACTCTACAAATCTCTATGTAATATAATGATGATGAGTGTAATACAGAGCGCCCTCTAGTGGTGACTCTACAAATCTCTATATGTAATATAGTGAGGAGTGCAATACAGAGCGCCCTCTAGTGGTGACTCTACAAATATCTATATGTAATATAATGATGGAGTGTAATACAGAGCGCCCTCTAGTGGTGACTCTACACATCTCTATATGTAATATAATGAGGATGAGGAGTGTAATACAGAGCGCCCTCTAGTGGTGACTCTACACATCTCTATATGTAATATAATGAGGATGAGGAGTGTAATACAGAGCGCCCTCTAGTGGTGACTCTACACATCTCTATATGTAATATAATGAGGATGAGGAGTGTAATACAGAGCGCCCTCTAGTGGTGACTCTACACATCTCTATATGTAATATAATGAGGATGAGGAGTGTAATACAGAGCGCCCTCTAGTGGTGACTCTACACATCTCTATATGTAATATAATGAGGATGAGGAGTGTAATACAGAGCGCCCTCTAGTGGTGACTCTACACATCTCTATATGTAATATAATGAGGATGAGGAGTGTAATACAGAGCGCCCTCTAGTGGTGACTCTACACATCTCTATATGTAATATAATGAGGATGAGGAGTGTAATACAGAGCGCCCTCTAGTGGTGACTCTACACATCTCTATATGTAATATAATGAGGATGAGGAGTGTAATACAGAGCGCCCTCTAGTGGTGACTCTACACATCTCTATATGTAATATAATGAGGATGAGGAGTGTAATACAGAGCGCCCTCTAGTGGTGACTCTACACATCTCTATATATAATATAATGACGATGAGTGTAATACAGAGCTCCCTCTAGTGGTGACTCTACACATCTCTATATGTAATATAATGATGATGAGTCTAATACAGAGCTCCCTCTAGTGGTGACTCTACAAATCTCTATATGCAATATAATGAGAATGAGTAATACAGAGCTCCCTTGTCCTCCTCCCAGCCAGGCAAATGTGTGTGCAGAAGCCCCGCCCCACACCTGCCAGGCACATGTGTACAGAGCCCCTCCCCCCACACCTCTGCACCCACTCTTCTCCCTCCACACAAGTCCTGACAGCCCAGCACATGGTGGCACTAGGACCCCGCTCACCTTGCTCCGTCTGCCCCCGGATCTTGGCAGCGAAGATCAGCAGTACAGCGAGAAGTACAGCAGCTATAATGTATAGCACGGGATCCATTGTTACACGTCAGAGCGCCAGGCCACGCCCCCCACGCTCCGCTCACAGTCGGCTGCCGGTCCCGGGCCGCTTGGAAGGTACCACACGCTACAGAGGGGTGGCCGAATATAATCCATGAGCGACATTAGCTTTTTATCCGTCTTCTGCACGCTCATTTCATACACATGTAGAATAATTAATCTAACGTGAAATACATTACGCTTTGATAGATGATTTTGTTTTGAAAGCGTAAAATAATTTCAGCTAGTCCCCGCCCCCCTCCGCGCGTTGGATTTGACTTCCCTGTTTCAATTTTGTGGTTGGAGACATTTAGCTCACAGGAAACACGAGTGGGAGGGAGGATGTCATTGCACCGGCAGTGTTTGTCGTCATAGCCCTGCGGCGCTTTTTCGCAGTTGAGCAGCTGGCTCTGAAATACAATTGGTGGAGAGTTCTCAGTCATCGATAAAATATCAATAAAATCATTTTTAACATAATCACTTATTTTGCTCCCTTTCATTTTTAAATGGCAAAAAGACAAAACCTGAAATATCATGTTGTGTGCCTGTGCCAGCGAATAGATTCAGTGTTTGTAATTTACAAGTACATTAGCTTTTTATCCGTCTTCTGCACGCTCATTTCATACACATGTAGAATAATTAATCTAACGTGAAATACATTACGCTTTGATAGATGATTTTGTTTTGAAAGCGTAAAATAATTTCAGCTAGTCCCCGCCCCCCTCCGCGCGTTGGATTTGACTTCCCTGTTTCAATTTTGTGGTTGGAGACATTTAGCTCACAGGAAACACGAGTGGGAGGGAGGATGTCATTGCACCGGCAGTGTTTGTCGTCATAGCCCTGCGGCGCTTTTTCGCAGTTGAGCAGCTGGCTCTGAAATACAATTGGTGGAGAGTTCTCAGTCATCGATAAAATATCAATAAAATCATTTTTAACATAATCACTTATTTTGCTCCCTTTCATTTTTAAATGGCAAAAAGACAAAACCTGAAATATCATGTTGTGTGCCTGTGCCAGCGAATAGATTCAGTGTTTGTAATTTACAAGTTGGAACCCCACATTTACTTCTGCAAGCCGTAGTGGGTGGAGCATGCCAGGCCCCTCCCACAGCTCTGCACAGGCCCTTTGCAACAAGGTAACATCTGGGTTTATAAAGGCATTTGGTGCACACAAAGTGGATTTTTATCCTCTTGAAGACTAAATATATATAAATATATATAACATTTCTTGGTGCCCGGAGTTCAGCTTAAGGGCCCAGTCACACCATAAAGAGTGCGTTCCACAGCGTTCGGCCTGCATTGAAGCCAATGGCACCGGAGCCATGCCCACCGCCCGCAGTGTGATTAGTGCCTGCGTTCCGGTCTAGTGGGATCTGCAAAAAATGCTGCACGCACCCGGGCCGTCCCGAGGCCGAGTGACACCCGGAGCGGAGAAGGGGTGACAGCCCGCCGTGACGTCTACGCAAATGCATGTGGCGTCGCCGCACGCATGCGTGATGACGTCATCGCACGTGCGCTGTCATCTTATTGACGCCTGCCGGCGGCCATCTTAGTGATGGACGCCGGCAGAGAGAGGGGGGGGGACGTTCACCCGGCAAGATGAGGTATGCCACCGGGTCCCCTCCTCTCTCCTGACACTGTCAGGCTCTCGGTCCATGACCGAGTGCCCGACTTTTCATAATGGGTGACACCAAAATGACTGTCAGTCATTTTGGTGTCACCCCTGCAATGGTGGCACCCCCCTCGTGGCGCCACTGGCATGCACTACTTTTTGCAGATTGTACTAGACTGGAACGCAGGCACTAATGTGCCACGCGTTCGGGTGCTGGCGATCGTGTAGTGGGCATGGCTGTGGTGCCATTGACTTCAATGCACTGCCACACCCCCTCCCGCCCCAAAACAAAGTGAGCCGGTCGGGGTGCGTTCCACAGGCCGAACGCTCTGGAACACACTCTTTGTGCTGTGACTGGGCCCATTTATAAGGAACAGGCTGCCTTAAAGGTGAACTCAGGGGATGGTAATAAATCTCTTTAGTGAAGCAAACCCGCTTATGTGTTTTAGTTGCACAGATTTGCAAAAACCGAGGGGAATCCTCTAAGGCGGGATTGTGGGTGGGACTGTGTAGCAGATCGGACTGCGCGTTACAGCGAGTGGTGTCTATAGTGGGGCAACAAGGAATACAACGAGGAATAGAGCATTTTCCTCTACCCCAGGAGTGGGCAACTCCGGCCCTCCAGCTGCTGTGGAACTACAAGTCCCATGAGGCATTGCAAGACTGGAAGTTACAGACATGACTCCCAGAGGTAGCCCTCAGTCCTGATGCAAGCAGTGGGTGGGATCTTGGGAGGAGTTATGCAAATAAAAAAAAATCCTTGACGGGCAGATGTCAGTCTAGAGGAGTGGGCGTTTCTAGGCATTGGCCCTGCAAATGTCTGTGAACATATGTTTTGTGGTCTTAAGGCCTTGTTCACACCAAATGCAGACCAAATCCGGTCAGGTTTCTGCACACGCAGTGCAGTGGGTTGTGCCGCGTTTTTGATGCGTTCCGGTTTTTTTTCAAGCCTGCTTGTTCGACGGAAGACGTGCGACCGTACATTAGAAACGGTCGCACGCATTCCATACACTGTACGATTTTCGTACGATCGCGGGATTTCCCGCGATTCTCGCACGAGAATCGTACAGTGTATGGGCACCTTTAGTATATTTCCTTTTCAGGTCGAATGTAAAGTAATACAGCGCTGTGACCACTAGATGGAGCAGAGGAAATAAGTACTTCTTTCTTCTGCTCCTCAGCTCCATCTACTGGCCATGATGTGCTATTACCACGGGTCAACCCCTCTGTTGTGTTTTTTGTTTTGTTTTTTCGTTATTAGTGGGGGCTTTTTTTTTTTTCCTTTATTTCAGTTTGTGGTTGATTTGAAGTCAGCTGTCACTTTTAGCTGCTGTCCCATTTTTGTGTGTTCATTTGGGGGGGGCTTTGCTGTTGAGCTTCCCTTTTAGAATTTTTTTGCGGTATATTGGTTGTTTTTTTTTGTTGGCAGGGCTTTTTTTTTAATTCTTTATTATTTTTTTTAATTTTTTTTGCCTGTATAAAAAAAAAGAGATTTATTTCTGGAGATGGTATTTTGGGGTTTTCACTTCATTTGGGGGTTTTGATTTTAATTTTACGTTGCTAGGGCCGTTATTAGGTTTGGGGTGTTTAAACACTTGAAGTCCGCGGCGTTTACACCCCCTTCCTGGCCAGGCCATTTTTCAGTATTCAGCGCTGCGGTACTTTCACTGACATTTATTCCGTCATGCAACGCTGTACTGAAATGAATGTTATACCATTTTTTGGGGACAGATAGAGCTTTCTTTTGGTGGTATTTAATCACCACTGCGGGTTTCATTTTTTACTATACAACAAAAAAAGGAATGAAAATATTGAAAAAAAAAACCTGTTTCCCTACGTTATGTTATAAAACATTTATTATCACCCCAATTTTTTGGTAAAGTATAAAGGACGGGGTCACGTCGGCTAAACATCACACATGTCAAGCTTTATAATTGTGTGCACCCGCAAAATCGGAGAAAACTACCACACACAAAATTGGCCCTAGGCGACGCTTTAAAAGCTTTTACCGCTCATCAGTTTAATGTTATCAGTGATTGATGGCCCGAGACTTATTGCTCTCACTCCGACGTACGCGGTGATATGTAACGTGCGACACAATAGGTGGATTCGTCGCATGTTGGCGTACCCCACGCATGTTTGCGCGTGTATGTGGGGGGGGGGGGCAAGGGACTTTTTTTAAAAAATTTGTGTTATTTTACATTTTTTTTTATTTGTGACTATTTTTATTTAGCTACTTTATTGCAAACGCCGGTGTAACCGATCATCTTCCCCTCGATCATCTCCCTGCAGAGAGCCGTGACTGTCACTCACCACTCCCCACAGGGATTTCCCCCCCCCCCCTTCCCCTCTCTAATCCTCCAGCGCTGGCTGGAGGAACGGAGGGGAGAGGGGGTGGGCACAGCTGGGCAGCTGGGTCTGCCTCTAGATAGGCAGAGCCCCCTGTCAATCAGCCAGCTGGGTGGATCTCTACAGTATTGTCGGCATCCGTCCCGGCTGCGGCGCTCTCAGTCAGCTTTGGGTCACGTGAGGACGTTAGTATATGTCCTCCCGTAACCCTTAAGAGAACTATGGGATAAAAAGTTTACCCCATAGTTTTCTTTTAACTCACTCTGATGACATGTGCGGACTTTTAAACCTTTGCCTGTTGGCAATTTGGGGTACCGTATTTCTTTGCCGTTTCACGGGGGCACGCAATTTTAAATTGATATTAAAGTCAAAAGGATTTTAAGCTTTTTTAAATGCTGATAAAATTACTTACAATGGATGCTGTTTGAGGGTTAAAGGTTTTAGTTTCCTGCAGAATCAGCTGGTCCCCTGGGCACTGGTCCTGATAGCCTGTTTAAGGGTGGCTCCTTTCCCTTGCAGAGTCCTATGGAGCCACCCTCCTGTGTGCTAGTAAGCTGTGGTTGACTCCACAAACACACAGGCACAGCAAAGTGAGCCACTCTCTTGCTGCCTGTCCCTTCTCTCTCCTCTCTTCCCCAAGCTAGTAGATGGACAGCTCCTGGAGACACTGTTTTCACTTGTGATCTTGTACTGGACAGGAAGTTCAGGGAAGCCGAGCTGAGAGAGTTGGAGCTGTTCTGAAACATGACGACTGTAAGTGCTTGGGCAAAAAGTTTAAGAAACACTTTGCTGGCCCATGTATATTTGCTTGATCTGGATTCAATATTGAATAGGAAGTTTCAGAGTTTAATACTACTTTAAACTTTTCATGTTGGGTATCAATTTACCCGGCACAACCTCATCTTTTATATTTTCCCCAAAAATTGGGTATTATTTTGTGTTTTTCTGCACCAAATTTAACTTTTTTTTACTGAAATTTTGTGCTTGATAAAGAGTTGCGCTGATATTATGCAACATAAAAATTTGCAACTGCCGCCAACTTATTCTACAGGTCAGTTTGGAATTGGGGTGCTGCTGGTACCCCTGG